TCGAGAATCTCCCTTTCGGTCTTTTCGCGTGCTTTAGCCATGACTGACGCACTCTCAAGCCGGGGGGTGCATCCGCATGTCCTACAGTAGGAAATCTTAATGACCACCATTTTTTTCTTTAACGGCCAGACTGTGTTCACGCAACAGTTGGTAGTCTGCTCATAAAGAGTTGGTAGTCTGCACTCTTTCCTGCCTCCCGTGTTTTCCTTCAAGTTTGTGCAGCAAATCAATTTTTCAAGTTAGGAAGTAGGTAGAGGAGAAGCCAGTCGTCCATGCACCGTCTTCCATGTTTCGCCGGGACCTTTGCGGCTGCTAAAGACTCTGCCAAAAGCATGCAGTGGTTCTCTGAAAAGCCGGCTTCTTTAGCAAGATTCAAAACTTGCGTGTCTGGAAGGAGTTTGAGTTTCTCCATGCTTGCTTCAAGTGAGGCTTTCTATCTTTTGGTTCTTTTCATAAATAGTTTTTTTTTCTTGTGGTACAACACAGCTCATCGCTTCCTAACTACTTCTACTATCGACCTGTATGGCGCACTGAGACCGCTAACATGAGACCTAACAGATGCCTTGACTTTTTTGCTTTCTTTTCGTTTCTTGTGAATACGCAAAGTGTTCGACAGCTTTTTGAATAGTCCGCAATGCATCAGCGAACAGTTAAAAACAGGGGAGCTGCTGTGCCTCCAGGCCCCTCTCTCGTCACAAAAGGCACATTCTGACTGGATCTCGGGAAACTTTTTTCTGGCAGGACCTCCACGACAAATGACTTGGTGTTGAAGTTCCTAAAACATGTCAATAATATTTCAGGTTCGCTGGGCTTCACAAGGTACTTCCACATCTAAACGGCTCACTTCGCGACCCCGATTCCATTTTGTTGCTGTATATCCCTCGCTGCCCTCGTGGGACGGCATCACTTCTAGGATTTTGAATGCGAATGAGGGAGACAACGCTGACAATTTCACCATGTGCACAAAAAAAGGCATTCGACACAATCAACGTTTATGTAGTGGTGGTTCTATGCAGTGTTTGGAATGGTGTGGGATGCTCACTGGACAACTGCTGGAGCCAGCTTGCTGTAGGGGCAGAAGCCTCTGCCTCTATTTTCTGCATCGGCACATATTTTTCAGCAGATTTAATTGACTGTAGCTTGGCTGTGGCGGAGACTTCATGTGAAATGTACTCTAATGCTCAGACGTGAACGCCTCATGTGCAATGGAGCTCGCCTTGAAGTTCGTATTTCTTTGAAGGCTATTTCTCTGGTTGCTGGTGGCTACTGAATCTTGATACACACTATGCATCTTCACTTTTTTGAGGCTTCTTTCATCGGAAGTTTGAAGTAAATTCCGGCTGACTCTAGGTTTCTTCGATGGATGCAAGTGCGGCGAAATGTCCGAAAAAGTGCAAGGAACTGCTTCACGCACCTGCTTTAGCTTGCGGTCACAAATGACCGCGCCTCCAAGCTCAGCGTAGTATTTGCGCCTGCTCACGATTTCACTGAGAAATGTTCTCGCAGACGTAGTCGCATATCGTGAGATCGCGATCCACCCGGCCGATAGCTCTCACCCATTCCTGCAAGCGTTTAGGGTCAGCTGGAGCTTAGAAGGTGCGAACTTTTTCAGCTCAAGACTTATATATACTGTTGCAGTTTGGGACAAAGCATCAGCGTTCCATGTCAATGTAAATCGGCGACCACAGTCAACGTAAATCACTAATCAGCAGCGCAGGAACTGTCGAATTTGCGACGTGCTGGTTCTCGAAGCCAGCCCTTACCTTGCATCGTCTGTTCCCGTATGCCCAATTGTAATGAAGGAAATGTGAATAAATTTCTAATACAAACACCAGGTGTGTATGGCATGCTCTGATCATCAATTTTTACGGCGTATGTTAATATCTCGAAATAATGTCGCCTTTTGTTATAACGAAAAACTTGCAAAATGTGATGCCGCACCGCCACATCATCAGATCTTCAGCTATTTGTAGTGGACCAGTTTGTCCCTTCCATTCGATACAAGAGCACTATTTTCCAATTGTGAATGATAAAGACAATTTGCAGTAGGAAGCACTAATATGACTTTACCTTCCTAACGCCAACATTTCTAACTAAAATCTTTTTTGTGTGTGTCACATGGCAACGTAGCGCGAGTAGCCGGTTTGAAATGTAGCAGACGACACTCGTGTGCGTCGGACACTGCAGGCGCGCGCGCTCCCCTGTCACGGCTGAAAACGAATAGTTCTGTGCGTTGCCGCACAACTACGCAGTCCTTGAGCTTGTTAGGCTGGTTCGCGCACGTTCGCCATAAGGTCACTTCGCCAACCTCCTCTCTCAGATTGACATTTTATCGGCGCACGCTCGCGCTGGCACCAGCCCGCAGTTTCCCCTTCTGTCTTTCTTGTCTTGCGGGACAGACAGACAGACAAACAAACAGACAGAAAGACAGGGAACGAACGGACGGATGAACGGATAGACAAACAGAAATGTGGACTAACGGAGCCAGGTCCATCAAAGTCATTCACTTTGCGGATAAGTCGTGATTTTTATCGTGTTTAGTTTTTTTGCAGAAAATACAAAATGATAATTCCCTGTGATATTTCCTTTTTTCTTGCTGCTTCTTGCCTTCTGGGTCGATTTCTCGTTTTACTCACCGTATCAATAGGTGGCGTTGCCTTGTTGCAGTAGCAACGCCTGAATGCTTGTAAGCGAGCATGATCGAGTTTTGATATGCTGATCCTTACATATCAAAGAGGAAGGAACAAAGGTGACGGTACGCTGCAAAACATCTTGTTATCCGCATTGAATCCACGCGGGAAGGAGATCTGTTGGGTTAGTAAAGCCACCATTCCAAATGCGTGGTAGCCACGCATTCCTGAAGATGGCCGACGATTCAGCCGTTTTTAGGGAGATCGCCAGCTTCAAGGCAGAACTGTTATCAGCAACACTTTGTAGTGAACTGCCACATTGCGTAAATTGAGTTGAATTCGTGGTTGGTATTTTCTGTTTCTGACAATCACTGCCACAATCACGTTTACATCGAGTAACCTTCTTTTTTGGCTTAGGCGAAAGTGCATTAGGATGATAGAACCACCAGCAGAAAACGTGGCCTTCTCACACCGCAAATGTTCAATTCTACTATGCATCATTTCATTCTGGGAGAATGGCACTCTTCCCTAGGCTAGTAAGGAGCGGGTTCCTGGTTCCTGCCACTTGCGCATTTGACCAGCTTGACTCTTCGCTAGACTCGTGCTGCTGATCTGTCATGGCCCAGATTGCCACTTCCGATCCCTACAGTATAGTAAGGCGATACTACACCGGTGCTCTTATACATCTTGATTGATTGATATGTGGGGTTTACTGTACCAAAAACACCTTATTATTATGAGAGACGCCGTAGTGCGAAGCTCCGGAAATTTAGACCACGTGGGGTTCTTTAACGTGCCCCCAAATCTCAGCACGCGGGCCTACAGCATTTCCACCTTCATCGGAAATGCAGCCACCACAACCAGGATTCGATCCCGTAACCGGCGAGTCAGCAGCCGAGTACCTTAGCCACTAAACCACCAAGACGGGGCCCTTATACATCTCATTGGTCACGCTTCCTTGATCCGGGACATCAACGCACTGATTACTACGACGACCCCATATTCCACGGATACCGCCACGGGTTCTTCAGATGGTTAAATAGACGATCCATCGAGCATCTGCGCCGCCCTATACTTCTCGCAGCAACTAGACAGATTTTCACCTTACTTGTATGCACTGATTTTTTGTTTACCTTGCGTACTGCCCAAAAATTATTTTGTAATGATGCTGTGAGCCTATTGTTGGGGACAGTATGACGTACACCACCTAAAGATATTCTTTTACGCAAAGAGGCTGCATTAAGTATTTATTGTCAATTCCAGGAACACTCTCGACACTTAAACTTCAACAACAGAGATGCTCTACTGTGATTATTGTACAAAACGATGGGAAGTAATAGCACGCCTACGCTTCGTACAGAGGCTAGTGATAATAGGTTTCACGAACCACAACCACGATATCATTATGAGACACGCCGCACTGGAGGGTCCGGCAGTTTCGACACCAGGGATGTTCTCTAATTTGCACTGAAATCGCAAAGTGCACGAAACTCTAGCATTTACCCCCGTATTCCACAACGCCCCTTCCCTCAACGCTCCTCCTTCACTTGAGAAAGCCTATGGGAGTGCCATCTCTAGGCAAGGGGAGTCACTGCATATCAGTGATAACTTGCTGCTATTCATGAGTAGAGCAGCGCCATTTTCAGCCTTGCCGCAGCACAGTGCTTAACTCTGTCGAGTGAAGGGTGAAAGTCGAGTCGAGGAGCGTTTGTGAATACGGGGGTTAGCCTCCACCGAAATTTGACCGCCGGGGTTGCATCTGTAATTCCGGGTCAACAACCGAGCACCGTAGCCACTGCACCCATGAGTACAATATCTAGACACTTGAAGACTGAACACTCAACGATCGGTAACACAATATCCCAGTAATGGAGGAAGAAATAGAAAAGAAAGGACCGGAGGTGAGCCAGTTCTCATCTTGAGCGCTTGCAAATGGGGACAAAAGCAAGGCCAACGAACTCACGAGCTGCACACCATTAAGTTCGTGTGCATCGGAGCATTGCACATTTTCGTGCTACATACAACTCAGCCATGACACAAGAATGTTTTCCAAACAGTGGGAAGTTAATTAGTACATCTACAGTGGGCGTACATAGTCTGCATCTGTGGTCAATACTGGGAAGTAACAGACGTCTTTCACTGACGCACCTAACCAGATGTGGACGACAAAGGCTCCTGCTATACACAATACACTCGGGAATAGCAGCAGATTACGCTGCTAGGGCACATCACCTTCTAAAGTTGTTTCAATTTTACCCAATAAGAGCACCTTCATATTCTGAGAATAAGGCATAAAACGTGGGGCAGGTTCAAGCAACCCAACGAAAAAAAAATGATTGCAAGGGACTTCCGCACGTTTTATGCACGCTTCAAGTTGGGTGTGCGTGAATCATGACGCGTTTATTGCTGTCACGTTACCATCAGCTCTTCCCGCAACTTTTTAATACCTCAACACTTCACCTCGAGTCGAAGATAGTGTTTATAGCAATAAATAGAACATATAATTGATTCTTGAAATATGCAAAATTAACACACCGTTTCACACAAACTGCATTCAGTATCCGTTGTTCATTCCGCATGGTCAATACTGTTCGTTCATGTTATGACATATATTATATTTATTTGACAGCCGTTATTGATATGTGGGTCGCCATCAAGCGTAGACATTTTTTTTCACACTCATACAGTAATATTTTGGATCCACAGGCTCTCGCGTGGGCAAGATTTACTTAGAAAGCGTCCGATTCTTCCCGAGTTCGAAAACAACTTTATACTTTCGATAAATAGAACTGAGACGTGTACGAACCACGACACAAAAAAGGGCAGCTCTGAACAGCTTCAACATTTGTAAGGGAGCGCCATCTATTCTTGCCCACATTGCCACTGCGCAAAACAAGCACGGTTTTTCACTTAGGAGCATATTCAAGCACCAGCAAAAAAATAAACACATATTCCTGCTGAGTACACGCACGACAGCTGATGAATGCTCACCAAGCGTACTTGCCGAAGCGGTCAGCTTATCCGTGTTCAGCATTATTCAGCACCACTTTCGAGCAACCGGTAGCTCACACGGTCTGAGTTCCTCTACAGTGTAGTAGGTTCTATCAAGACGGTGCCTATATTTTAGGTGCCACACATCTGTTCTCTGTCACCCCCTGAGAAGTAATGACAACTACGCAGTCCTTGAGCTTGTCAGGCTGGTTCGCGCAGGCTCTGTCCGGTGATCGCCGAAGTCTAGACCAAAAAGACTCAGTGAATGCGGTCGATCTGACTGCGCAGTTCGATGAGTCACTCGCTCTGCGCCCACTGGTGGGCTCCTCAGGAACGTTCAGCAAGCACGCCCGCGCTGGTGCGCTCTTCTTACCATTGGCATCAAAGGGCCCCGACGAATTGGAACGGGCCGAGCGCACAGAGCTCAAGCGGCGGCTGGTGGCAGGCGTATGGTCGTCTGATTGGTTGAGACCAGTTCCAGTGTACTGGTAAACAGACTGCAGGCGCACGAACTGACCCTCCGCACAAGGACAGAAAATTTGCAGGAAAGTACGCCGGTACTTCTGACTAAGTAGGCAGTAAAGTATGAAATTGCCAGCTGCATTGAGCGACATCAGGAAGTTGAAGATGTTTCCCAAAATGAAGACGAGCTTCTCTTGCTCACTACCTTCTTTCGGAGTCTTTATCGAAGTGTAGAGCAGTGTGACAGCGGTGGGGAGCTGGCAGACGAAGAACAGTATGACAACCGCAATGAGCATGACGGTGATCTTGTTCTCCTGGTTGTCGCGGCTGGAGTCAGTTCTCTGAGTCATTTTAGAACGCTGCCTGCGTGAAATGTGCACGGAGCGCACTAGAAAAGCATTGAACACGGCCAGTAGACAGAATGGCACCAGAGTGAAAAGCACCACCGTCAACCAGTAGTATATCGTCTTGTACAGTTCATTGCGCCCGAACTCTGAGTAGCTGAGACTGACCTTGGTCATATTGGTGACCGGGTTGTTATCCTCAACCACAGCGTATTCGAAAGGCGTCGGTAGCGTGAGTACGAAGCAGAAGACAACGACCCCTATGACAGCCTTTCTAGCCCGTGACTCCGTGCACAACACCTTGCCCTTGATAGGATGGCATACGGCGATGTACCGCTCGACCGTGAAGGTTGCTGTGATCCAGACAGACGTGTTGCTGCACGTGTCCGTTAAAAGAATGAGAAAGGGAAAGCAGCGAAAATAAACGAATAACCCTTTTTCCTGGATAAACTCGTAGTGCTTGAGCGACAGCGCGAAGCCCCCCAGAAGGTACAGCATATCGACGATGGCGAGTGCAGCTAAATAGTTGTTGGTGGACGAGCGCATCCGCCTTCTGGTCATGATGACGATCGTAACCGAGTTTCCAATGATGCCGATGAGTGTTATTATGGGCACAAGTACGCGCTGTATCCAAAAGCGGCTGCTTTCCAGAAGCGCATCGTATGAAGACTCAATGGAAACGGCATCTGGTATAGGTGACGTGTCGAACAGTTCAGTGGAATCACATTCAGCGCACGCCAGGTCCGAACTCCCGTTTCCATTCGGCGGGTAGAGGTAGATCTGACCTTGAGTGCACATCCATGCAGGTGCCATGCCTGCTAAGGTGCAGTTACTGAGATAGTCCATCTTCGTTGTCAACCTCGAACAGTGGAGATCCTGCGAGATAGAAACAACAAAGGTGAGCACTTTCAAAAGTATGTGCTGTATAGTGACTGAAGTAGAACAAGGGCAACCTAACACTACAGAGACACCGAAGACGTGTATTACTAAGATCCCATTTCACAATCCTGAAAACGCCCCTCTTACTGCGAGATGACGCTTGGTAAGCGAGGAAACGTGCGGAAAGAAAATGCAGACCCATACATCAGCTCGATATTTCTGAAGTCGCAGAATTTGAAGGCGTCTACTGGTACCCACGTAGCTTCTAATCAATAAAGATCAAGTACATTGTCTTCTCTGGGTGCCATAAACCTAAATTGCGAACTATTCATCGAGCCGATTTCGAGAAATAGCGAAAAGTACATTTTGATATTGTTGACAACACGCGCGGAGATTTCAGTTCAAAAGTTCGAACTGAACCTTCAACCTTGATTTTCTTTGCTAATTACGAACCTATGATAGAGAAACTTATGGAGTTAGAGTTTTCAAGGTGCGCTTTATAAATCAAATTGAAGTCAAGTCAATGTTTCTCTGTAGTGTTGCTGCAACTTATAACTATACTTTGCCCAATACACCACACCGATGTCAAGCAAACATGCGTAGACGCAAAAGAGGCACACTCCGCGCAGTGTATGAATGACGTGGTCGTCATGCTGCAGCTAGGCTTCCACCAATATATCTAATGGGAAAAGAGTTGACCCCGCCTAGCCCTCGTCGTTGTTGGTACTCATATATCATGAAAGTTAATTCTTACTACTGCCCACATTATTTCCTCCCTTCCACACTTTCTCGACGATGGTACTCTGTGCTCCCTTTTGGGTCGCAGATGTAACATCTCTCCTAACATGGCCTGTGAGTGCGCGCGCGTGGTGTGCTTTTCTCTGCCCCTCCCAATCGCATGAAGAGAGTGTGTTTCAAGAGCTGAGCGTGGCTCGCTTTTTCTCCACACCGCGGCGCTTCCACAAATGATCGAAAAGGCTGCCACGCTGTTGCTGCTGCTTGCCTGTGGCAAGAAAAACAAATGGGTTTGCACTTTACCATAACCCCGCGCTTATTAGAAATGCCGGGTGAAGATGTACGACAGGTGAAGTCAACGCTGGGGCTTATATATTCACAAATTGGCTTTTTTTCTGTAGATTTCCCCGCACATATTAGAGCCTAATGCAAAATAACAAAAACGCCGACCAAGGTGAAATACACAAAACTTAAAAAGACGTTTCGGCTCCCCACACGTGAGCCTTCTTCACAGTGACCGCAAATGGCGTAGTGCGCTCTTCTTATGCATGTTTCATCACGTGTTGCAGACATCGCGCGTACACAGGAGGGAGTGTCCCAATATTTCTATTCAACGTATGCGCAGTAGTTTGAATGGCCAGAGATTCCATGTGCACTCGTGGTAACAACTTTCTTTTCGTGGCAATGATGCAGGCTTTATCCCAGTCGATAGCGTGCCCAGTAGACGCAATATGTTCTGCGAGGACATTAGAAGCTACTTTCTTGTTCTGGACGTCATTAAAATGTTCCCGGAGCCTTCTTTTGTAAGTGCCCGTTCTGCCAATGTATCCGTATTCACAGTCTTTGCAAGGAATTTTATACACCACGCCGGGAAAATCATGTCTGTCCAACTTATCTTTGACATTTGTAAGACGGCCTCGGAGATTTCGTGTCGGAACGTGAGCCACATGGACGTCGTAGCCGCGAAATACCCGAGCGAGGGTCTCGCTGAAGCCTGGAACGTAAGGCACCGATGCGCGTTTTCTCGTAGCGATGGTGTGTGACTGAGCCGCACGCTGCCGTTCTCGCTGCACCGAGTTCATGAAGGAAAGCGGATATCCGCAAGTAGCCAGCTCCCGTCGAACGGACTCAACATCTTCTACTGCGTCTTCTTCCTTGAACAAATCCTCCAAGCGCGCTTTACGAGTGTAGACACAACAGAAGGTTCATGACAGGATGAGTGCACAGAATTGAAGATTAGAAAACGAGCGGTGTGTGTTTCTTTTTGTACACACTTAAAGTCAGGCGCCTACCGTCTCGTTTCACGAGGGCGTAAAGGAACGGAAGGTAGCAGTTTGATTCTTCTTACATGGTAAACTGCATCGCGGCTTCCATGAAATTTAGCTGTTCTAAGAATACTGGCAGGGCATCCCGTTGCAAAACACAGAAACAATCATCCACATATCGAAGGAAAGTCTCAGACGCGGCAGCAAATGAACTGAGAGGCCAGTTTTCAACAGCCTCCATTGCAAGGTTTGCGACAGTGACGGATACAGTAGATCCCATTGCAGTGCCATGCACCAGCTTGTAGTATTTGCTCCTGAATATAAAGTAAGTGTTCTCTAAGCAGAACTGAAGCAACCATAACAGATCATGAACATCGATGGGCGTTCTCTCCGACAATGATTGGTCATATGCAGCCTTCCCCTCTGACCTCAACGGAACTTCAGGTGGTGAAGTCTCTACGCAATAATAAAGACATTGTAATACTTCCTGCGAACAAGGGCAACGCTACTGTCTTTTGCTCGACACGAATGACTACGTGAACAAGATTAACGCCCTTCGCGAGGATGCCGGCACGTACCTTCCACTACATAGCGACCCAACACCAAAACTTCAAAGGGTCGTTGTGAACAATCGCACGAAAAAAAACTGGCTAGCTTACAACAGCGACATGCAAAGGGTGCGCGTGCGCCAGGCAAATGCACTGTGCATAACCTTTCTTCCTACAAGCCAAACGTCGCCGAGACTGCTGTCCTAAATCTCGGACTCAATTTCAATACGGCCTTGAAACAGACCATGGGAAGATAATTTGCGCCGTCGAGAACACTGTGAGCATCGTAGAACTTTCTCGCAGAGACGAAGCCCGTACGCGTGCTGTGTCTGTGCTGTCTTCACTTCGTCATATGCAGCTTCCCCTCTGACCTCAACAGAACTTCAGGCGGTGAAGTCTCTAAGCATTAATAAAGACATTGTAATACTTCCTGCGGACGAGGGCAACGCTACTGTTTTGCTCGACACGAATGACTACGTGAACAAGATTAACGCCCTTCTCGAGGATGCCAGCACGTACCTTCCACTACATAGTGTCACGGGGTCGTGACTTGGCCGAAGACAGGAGACTTTGCGTTGGAATTTAACTGTTTATTAGGGCGAACCTGTGCCGTGTAAACGAAAACTCCGATTACAGTAGCAGTCTTGGCGTTTACGAGAATATTATTTCAGGATATATCTTACACAGCCTATGTGCACACATAAAAATGGACAATGGTGAACAATGCGTATGTACAATGCAAGCTGTTATATACAGCGGAAGAAATTATAGCGTATGCAGTGACGTACAATGCAGAAATTGTACAACAAAGACAGGACATTCATGACATCGAGATGATTAAACCTAAATAAACAGTAAGGCTATTTGAACAAACAAGGGGAGGTCATTCACAGTGTAGCGTGATATTTTGCAGTCACCTGTGAGGACGATTTGCTCTCGCGCTTAAGAACAATATTGCACAAAAGGACATGTTTCTAAAAAAGAAAAGAAAAATACACACTGTAATGCCACAGTGGTACAAGCTCTAGCCCACCTCCTCAATAGGGGAGGAAAGGAATGGACACTGTTGTTTTTCACGATAATAAATCGCGTAGACCACCGTCGGAGGAAAGCCTCCTCTCCCAGCATGACTAGTTCTGCGTTAAGATGCATAAGCATTATGTTTCTTAGCCGATGTAGTAAGAGAAACATGGCTCTCTGGGGGCGTCCCCTCAGGCAGGCCAGTCCCTTTCGTTTCAATAAGACGAAGGCTGTGATAGCCATTAAGAGTACGACTAAGTTATCCCTGTGGCTAGACTTCCACTGCATACTTGTTCGGAACATCCTGGTAACTATGCACCAAAAGGTGCGCGCTACTATACATACTTGGACGACATGTTTTAGTGTTTCGACGCGACCGCATTGCGGACATGTGGCGGAGGAGAGCCACGCCCCACGCAGCAAGGCCATCGGCCGTTGGTAAAGCCCCCCCCCCCCCCCATTCCCTGAGCCAGTTTAGGTCATGAACCTCGGAGAAGAGAGACGTGTTTGTAAGAGTACAGCGTCTTTTCGCCCGGCATTTCCGGCGTTGTTCTTCAGATAGGCTTTTAAACGCTATTAACTCGCTCATGTTGGTGGGGGACATTTCCATAAGTTCTTGAACTGGAAAATCGTTTCGCCATTGTTGCAAAGATTTTATAACAAGTAGTGTAATACGCTGGTGGTTGCTCAGCAGCTGGTGCCGTGTCGTTTGCTACACCAAAAAGTCTTCTAGAGGTTCCTAACAGATACACTACAAGTTGCCTGCCTCGATACGATGACTTCTCTAAGAGGGCCCAGGTGTTTTTGAGAGCCAACGTGCGCACATTACATCAAGGTTGGGTACACTGAGCCCTCCCCATTTTACTGGTAGGCGGACCAAGGCTCTGGCAACAGCTTCGGCGTGGCGATCCCAGAAAAAGGAGCCGCACGCAGTATAGCCACTCTCAGCAAAACCGGTCGAGGTGGTCGGGCAATTCTGGCTACATAAACCAGTAGCGCGGTTATGCTGCTTTTAATTAGGTAAGCTATTTCAGTAAAAGGTAGCTGAAACGTTCTGGCGACTTCAATGCGTCTGTCCACTTTGTGTTGGATTTCTTTCTGTGTGGTGCGTGCTACCTCACCAGTCGAAAGGAAAGTTACACCTGAGACTTTAACGCCTTGGACGATTTGGACGCCATCAGGGAACTCTTCACTGTGCACAATGCCTTGCTTTTTCCGAGATTAAGACGTGCTCCCGACAGGTAACTATACGTGTGGAATATTCGCAGAAAGGATCTGTAGCTATCTATGTTCCGAATAAACAACGAGATGTCATCGGCGTATGCCGCTACTTTCACTTCACCCAAGCCTGGAAGAGGAAAACCGCGTATCGAAGTGAATTTCCGGATTTGTTTAAATAATTAATCTATGCCTAATATAA